GGACGGTGCCGGAGACGGTGCGCGAGAGCCCTGAGTCTCTGGCTGAGTGGCAGCTTTTCCATATCTCTGATCCGCCTACGGCGCTGCTGCTTACCCTTGCTTCTCGCGTGGCGGCTATCTATATCTATCCTACGGATAAGCCGGGCCAGGATGTTAAGCCCCTGCCTGCGTCTACGGCTGCTGCCTTGCGTCGTCGCTATGCTATCCTGACGTCGTTGAATACCGCCCCGATCTTTGGTATCCTGGTAAACACGTTGAGTGTGAAGAATTACCTGCATATTGTGGATCATGTTCGGGAGCGCATCGCGGCGGCCGGGAAGAAGAGTTATCTGTTTGTGGTGGGCAAGCTGAATGCGGCCAAGGTGGCTAACTTCAGTGAGATCGGCGGCTGGGTGGTCATCGGGTGCTGGGAAAGCTCCCTCGTTGATAGTCGCGATTTCTGGAAGCCGGTTATCACGCCGTTTGAGTTGGAGCTTACCCTGAAGGGGGATACGGAGCGGGTCTGGACGGGAGCCTGGCAGAGTGACTTCCAGACGGTCCTGGATCAGTCTGCTGCTGAGGCAGAGAATGGAGATGCGTCGACAAATGATGCTGCGAACGGGGAGGATGAGGATGAGATGTCGGAGCCCGAGTCGGCTCCGCCAGAATTCGACTTGCGCACTGGCCGGTATGTCTCGCATTCCCGGCCCATGCGAAACCCTGCACCCCGCGTTTCTGCCTCAGGAGAAGAAGGTGCTGCCTCGTCAGCATCAGCTGGAGGTCCATCCGCAGCGCGAGCTCTGGCCAGACGGGCGAAAGGGGATCTGGCGATGATCGGCGGAACCATCTCCCCTGGAGCAGAGTTCCTTCGGTCGCAACGGACGTGGAAGGGGCTGGGCAGTGATTTCGATATCCAGTACGAGGAGGAGGATGCCAAGGATAGCACGCTGGTGGTGGAAGGGCGCAAGGGTATTGCAAGGGGATATACGGTAGGAGAAACAATAGAGCGACACTAGTTCAGGCCGCCCTCGCTCCCCTGGCGTTCGGAGAACCGGATTGTTGGGCGCGACCGTTGAAGAAGGGTAGAAAGTATGGGAACGAGTAGGGGGGAGGGCAAGGCAAAGCATAGTCAGGTGGAACTAGTGGTTTGCTATTTTCTTTGCATTGATGGATTGATGGATCTGTTTTTTGTGCCCTACTGATGCTGCTGGCACGGCCCAAAGCGGATGGCGAGGTTAGTGGTTGTGGTTGTAGTGGTGGATTGGATCGTCGGGGGAGAGGACAACACCACGCAGCTAGCAGCAGATAGTGGAAAGAAATCCAGAGGGATGAATTCAATATTCAATAAAATACACTGGGGACGAATCACTAGTGAAGTTGAGACCCGTCAGGCCACAGACTCCGGTGACCCAACATATATCGTCATAGGAATAAGTCTAAACTCATCATCAACATCATCATCATCATCAATCAACAAGCAAAGCAACAATAACCAAAAAGAGTGGCATCCCAACGGGGCCAAGGCGACCTATCACATGATTGCCGGCCGCCCGTTGGATTTTTGTTGCCCATCGCCAATTCTGAGCTGAGTTGTCCAAGCCACCCCCAATCGGTTTGCTGTAACTTGTTCTCCCTCCTCTTCCCTCTCTGACCCTCTTTCTCCCTCCATTTCATCCTATTCCTCTCCTTCCCGTGGATGGCCACTGCTCATGTCCAACATTTGGGCGTAATCTGCCCTCCTTGCGCATGCTCTCCTTCCTGCTTCCCTTATGATGTGCGGCCCTCTCCCGCATTCTCCGCTGTGCTCGCGATCTCGCGTCACTCTAACCTCCGGCTTCCTTTCAGGGGAGTGAAATCAAAAGAAAAAGGTTGTTGAAGAAGCAAAGGGTCCCGCCATCCGATTCGGATCGTCATGCCATCCGTATCTCATATTCCGGGAGTGCCCGCTATCGATCATCGATCGGGCCCTGAGTCGACTACTACTACTACTCTTACTACTACAGCCATGGCCGGCAAGCCCAGCGGAGACCAACAGCAGCAACACCTGGTGGATTCCGCGCTCGAACACTCCGTCCTTCCGGCCCAACATCCGCTATCCACCTTTGAACTCGTCGTCACCACCAATGCCCCCATCCTCGAATCTCTCCTTTTGCAGACTCCCACCGAGGCCATCCTAGCCCTCTATCATACCTCCCGCTACCTCCGCTCATTCCTCCGCTCTTACCCGACAGCATGGAAATACCTCTCTTTTCGGCTCCTCTACCCCTCTGGCACCCCGCCGCCCCTCCGGGTTGTCTTCACCGGCTCCTCCGAGACCGTCATCCCGCGCCAGTCGCGCCCGTATGCCCTCGACCAGCTGTTGATGAACGTGGTGATTCCGTTTAGTCCGTGCTTGCGCAGCCTGGAGTTGGATAACACAGCTGTGTCGGGGCAGATTCTCATGTCGACGGTACTACATTCGCGGCGCGAAACCTTGGAGCATCTCTCCGTACGAGGCTGCAAGAACGTGTCGCTCAAATACCACATCATCCCGTACCTCACGATGTTTGGCCTCCAATATGATGTCAACATGGAGCAAAATATCGGAAGTTCACCGGATACCAAGCATCTTGCACTGAAGAGTCTCTACACATATCGATGTCGACATCATCGACGACGGCCGTATCTGACGTCCTCCTTATCGCGAAAAGACTCCGACTCCGAACCCACACATGAACTGGTCAACCTCTGCCATAAGCTGGGCATCTGGACGGATACCGCGTGGTGCTCGACTCCGGCGGGGAGATGTTTTCGGAGACGGGGTTACGTGTCTATGCGTGTTCCACAGGGGTCGGCAGAAGTGTGGGTGGTGTTTGATCGGCTGTGGAGGTCGAAGAATTGGATCGGTCCGGTAGACCAGGCGAATCGTCCAGTCCAGCGGGATGCGAAGCTGTGGGAACATAGTGAGACCGGCTATTACGGTGAGGCTTTGGGGACCGGAGAGAGTGGAGACCATGGAGAGGGCAAGATGCTGCCGGCACATTTGCGACGGAGCCATACACAATTCGTTGAGAATATCCGCTGCGACAACTGTTGCGAGTTGATCCCTGAACGATGCGAGCAATGCAGTATATTGATGCACTGTGTCGGATGTCGAAAGACTCTGTGTGCTAGCTGCGCTTACGAACGGCCTTATCTGCACTGCCGGCCTCGATCGGCATCCAAGGACAGTCCATTCTGGTGGGCTCCTGGAGCTACGATGTCGCCATGTTCTATGCAAGACCCTGTCGAAGATTCCGAAAACACTACTGTAGCCAACAACGCGACTCCCTCCTATCCCGCCCTTACGTTTCATTGGTGCTGCACCGAGCCTATCTTCTCTGGCGGCGGTGGCATCAGTATCGGCACACCGAACCGCGATGTGGATCAGGTACGAGCCGTGCCTCTGCCGCGAGGACAGGGGTGGGAGGACCTGGAGTACTCAGCGCAGGAATGGAGCAAGACGTTCCCGCGGGATGCCTACGGAGACCCTCGCAAGCCCGACTATACGCTGGAGACCGGACACATCGCCATGATGCGTTGGCTACTTGGGCCGCCCGACCGACAGCCTGCAGCTTGTCCGCGCAACCTATGCCAGGACTGCTACGACACGCCTCAGTGGAAGGTCCACTGCAAGAGCTGCTCGAAGCCGCTGTGTATTGAGCATGATCTGCGGGGACTCCGCTTGAGGATCTGTGGGTACCGTGATCTCACGCTGGAGAAGCTGGCAATCCAGAACCACGCCGAGAACGGCTCTCGCGGGTTTGTGTCATCGCGGATGCCCTACACGAATTCCGTGCCAGAGTTCGAGCTGCCGTATCGGACGCAGCGGATCCTTGATTCGACTACGAGCAGTTTTACCGAGGACAACCAAGAGGTCTTTCCCGAGGCGAGCAGTAGCGCGTTCGACCATCCTCGACCCACGCCTTTGGTTCACCGCCGCTCGCGCAGTCTCTCCATCTCCAATTCCAACCGCTCACGCTCATCCTCGCCATCCTCGGTCTACTGCGACTCGCCGTCCGACCAGCCCAGATGGCAAGGATGCCAGTCCTTTTTCTGTCCGCAGTACCGAGCGGTCGGTGATCAGCGACAGCGGTGCGCCAGCGTTCTCCGCGAGTGCACCAGCTGCTCGGTGTACGTATGCGAGGACTGCACCATCGCCTTCCCGCCGTGCAACTGCTCCTATTGCGAAGCCAACTACCTGTGCCCGAACTGCCTGAAGGTGCGGGAACGAGACGGGACCTGCCGCCGGCCGGCAGAAGAAAAGGCCCGTCGGGAGCGCAAATGGAAAGAGGACATGCGTCTGCTGGAGGGGATTGTGCAGGACAAGCTGGCGAATAAAATGGCAAACAAGATGGCCGAGTATGCCGGCGAGTTCTTCGACGTTATCGAGCGGGAGGAACACGGCGAGGTGCAGCATATTGAAGAAGCCTCGACGTATCCTGGACCCGTAGCTGAGGATCTAGGCGAGGAGATATTGACGGACAGTACGGAATGAAGATAAAATATGGCTGGCAGGGATCTACGGGCGTCGAGGATGGGCGGACTGATGATTATTTTCGGAGTTACTCTTTATCTGGGCCTGCAGATATAGCAGCGTGCATAGCAAATGATACTGTTCGGGTTGCCCTGATGCGCAGGGCGCTGAGGGGTCCTGTTGTCCCAGGAGGACAGAAGAGAATATGTGGGTCATTGCTGGAGGAACTGTATGTAATAAAATAATGACATACGATATCCCACCATATCCTACCATTATCTACAATTATCATAGTGTTTGTTGTAGTCTACTAGTAGTTACTATGATGTCTACACAATAAACGCAGTTAAAAGTTGCCCCGCACGCGGAAGCTTCCAGCCATCCAGCCAGTCCCCACCATCTGTAATTCCCTCCAATTCTCCAAACAACCTTCCTCTGTACAAATCTTTTCACAAACAAGTATGACCCCAACTTCCCCCTAATATACGCCCTTCACCACTAACACAACTACAACCACAATAGCAAAATGGCCGACGAACAACCCCCCACCCCCGCCGAGCTCGCCCGCCGCGACGAAGAAGAATCCGCCCGCAAAGCCCGCGAAGCCGCCGAACAAGCCCAGCTGCCTTACAAATGGACCCAAACGATCCGCGACGTGGAGGTGACGATCCCCGTAGCATCGAACATCCGCGGCCGGGATTTGGATGTAGTTCTCACGAAGACGAAAATTCGCGTTGCGATTAAGGGACAGGAGGCTTTTATTGACGTACACTACCCCACTCTACAACTTATCACTCTACAACTCTCGCTATAAATACTAACCTGGTACTGGAATATCGTAGGGTGAATTTCCCCACCCCGTCATCCCCGACGAATGCTCCTGGACCCTCGAATCGACATCCAAACCGCCCGGCAAGGAAATCTCGATTCACCTGGACAAGGTGAACAAGGTGGAGTGGTGGGCGCATGTTGTGACGAGTGCGCCGAAGATCGACGTTACGAAGATTACGCCGGAGAATTCGTCGTTGAGTGAGTTGGATGGCGAGACGAGGGCGATGGTCGAGAAGATGATGTATGATCAGAGGCAGAAGGAGATGGGTGGGTTGACAAGTGATGAGCAGAAGAAGAGGGATATTCTGAAGAAGTTTCAGGAGGAACATCCTGGTTAGTATTACTCTCTCTTTTTGTTTTTCTTGGGTGCGTGGTTGTGCTAATGTGGTGTGTGTGTTTGCAGAGATGGATTTCTCGAATGCGCAGATTGGTTAGGTATATAGTCAGTGGTATATGAATTATGATGTTGTTGGAATTGTATGTTATGCTGGTATGCTATGCTGGTGGAATATAGCTGGCTTCCGTATTAGGACTAGTCTGGTCAGGCACTCCCGCGAGGCTGGCTGCTCTCATCGTCATATGTCATGAGTCTATCTGTCTTACTATCTTGTTTTCTTCACTTATCCTCATTGCATAAATGCAAGCTATGCACCTTCATGGAACGTAGCAAACTCTAGCAACTTTGGTGGCTGCCATGCAGTCTGTCCTCCAACTTCGTCCTTCACCCCGTACTTATCATCCCCGACGCCCGCATCGCAAGTCCCGCGCTGGCTGCCTCGTTTGCAAGCAGCGACGGGTCAAGGTATTCCCCTTACTCTTCTGGTTAACACCCTCTCTAATTGTACTGTTCTTACCTGTAGTGTGACGAGGAAAAACCATCCTGCCACCGATGCCAGAAACTCGGGTTCGACTGCAGCTATGAGCCCGAGACCAAAGGCAAAGACAGCGTCAGCGTCTTCCTTGCGAGCCCGCCCGATTCAAAAGCGTACTGCATGTCAGTGGACACCGTGACCAAGAAGATCAACGAGATACTGCAGTTGGATTCAAAAAGCGGCCCATTGCCCGTCGTGCAAGCATTGCAGCACTTCCACCATGGCCTAACAAACCCGGCGCTCGGGCCGACAGGCGCTCAATCCGCTATGCAGGCGAAGATCATTCAGCTAGGGTTTAATGTATGCTGGACTTCATCTTACTAAGGAGGACTGTTACTGACAGCATAGTCACCCTTTCTCCTGCACACTATCATCGCAGCAGCCACTTCGCATATCCGTCATCTGGCTTCGGATGGTCGCGTTTATACCTTCACGGAAACTTACCACTGGCAGCAGGCCATTACTCAGTATTCTCGAGAGGTTACCACTATCAGCCCGAAGAATACGGATAGTTTGATCTCTGCGTGTGTGTTGTTGACTATTCGTTCCTTTTCTCTAGATGAATATGACCCGCTCAGCTCGTTTGTCTTCTCAGACGATATTGCCTCCCTGAGCTGGCTGACATTGCAAGGGGGGTTGCGCCATCTGATCATGGCTACGGCGCAGTGGAAGGCTGGCAGCATGTGGTGGGAGGTATTCGTGAAGTCTCATGATGAGACGATGGATCTCTTTGAGGATGATCGTCCTGGCCGGGTGGCTATTCATCCGGGGCTAGCTGATTTGTGTGGTATCGATGACATGACCACCGCAAAGGCGAACCCGTATCATGCGCCAGCGCGGATACTGACAGGACTGCTTTCGCTGGAGCGAGGAGTCCGGAGTTTTTCATCCTACACGGGATGGATGGGGAGGCTGCTACCGGAGTTCTTTGCTAGGTTGATGCAGAAAGATCCACCGGCACTAGTGTTGCTGAGTTGGTGGTTGGGTTTGATGTATGGGACGGATATGTATTGGGTCAAGACGCGAGCGAGGTCAGAGATTACAGCGATCACATGGTACCTGGGTGAGGGATGGGATGAGTTCGTGAAGTTTCCAACAGAGTGTATAGAAGACTACGAGAATGCTTGTATACCAAGCTGAGAATAAACTACGATTGATGCTATCTTATCCGCTTATCGATAAAGTGAAGACCAGGAGCGGGGAACTCCACCAATCAGCGATGCGGGGAACGTAGATGCCTGGTTGCTGAGGCGCAGCCTCGTCGTGACTTTTGACTTTCTTTCCTCGTTCACTCTCGTAGACATCACCTCTTGGTCATTTACACAGAGACACGTAGTCTCTGCATCGCATTGACGTGCCTGGTGTCTCAATCAGCCTTCATCCACTTTCCCCCTCCAACCATCAGACACCCGTCAACACCGGAGACTACAACAGTCTGCGAACATCTACAGCAGACTCACCACCTCACTCCAACAACCACAACACGAACACCTCCTCCAAACCCATACAAGACAAACACCAAGACTTAGACCAGAAACAATGCTATCAACCCTCCTCGCAGCCCTCTGTCCATGCTCCTGCACCAGCCCGACACCTCCCCCACCACCAAACACCACAACCACAACCACTTACAACCACCACCACCCCAACAGCATCCAATACCAAACCCCCCTAGAACCCACCCTCACCCTCCCAGCCTACACCCCCCACCCCAACACCGAAACCCTAAACGAAAAGACCCTCGCCCTGCACCTCCGCGACCCGCCCATTTCCTCATCCAGCTACAACAACAACAATTCTTTCCCCCTCGACGAGAAACACCCCTACACTACTACATCCACCACCACACCTACCTCATCCACACTACCTGACGGTATATCTACAAGCAACAATGCCACAGCAGACGACGCCTCCTCGCAAATCTCCTTCCCCAGCACAACCCACAGCTACGGAAACACCTCCACCGCGACGAGGGAGACTCCGCCCCCGCCATACTCGCCGACGTGGAGGGGCCACGCAGAGGGGGAGGTCGAGGGGGTGATTTCGCCGGTGCCGTCGTTGAGTTTTTCGGGTGATGGGGAGAGGTCTAGGTCTGTGTCGGTTTCGGGGAGGAGTAGTGGGAGTTGGGGGGAGGGGGGGAGTAGTATTGGCGATGGGGATGGGGATAGGGTGAGGATTGTGGCGCCGAGGGGGGTGTATATAGCGGGTCAGGGTGGTAGAGGGGATGGGTATGGGAGGAGGTGGGGGGATGAGGGGAGTGGGAATATTGGGGAGGAGTATTATGGGGTTGGGTATGGCGTTAGGGATGGGGATTTGGGGAGGGTGAGTTATGAGAGTGGGAGGAGTGGTGGTGGGAGGAGGGGGTCGTGGGGCGCATAGAGGGAATACTAATTGTTTCATTGAGTGTTATCTGGAGGAATGGTTAAGTTTCGTTTTGCTTGGGATGGAGTTTGCTCTGGGATGTATATACGCCTTATGAGGCTTAATGTGGTATGAACATGGGTGTAATTGATATTTAATATACACGTATATGCAATACCAAAGGCTAGTATCGATAGTCGACTTCTTGCCAACTATCTCACTCATCAACCCCAGGTTGACATCTAACATCCCCAATACAAAACGTGTACATACACAAAATCAGAAGAGAAAAGAACAATGTCTCACCACTTCCACCTTAAGAGCTCTGGTAAGTGACCTTCAACTCAGAGTCACTAACAACACTAGGCACAGCCTGGACATGATCACTAGTGCTATCCTCCACAGCCATCAAAGACGAGCCATCAAGACCAATAGTCTTTCCACCAGCCTTAGCAACACAGCCGGTAAAAGTAGCCTCACCGAAGTTAATGAAGGTCAGACCATCACCATCGATAGCCAAGTCCTCGACGATCCACTCAGCAGTCTGACCGACCAGAGTCGACGAGCTATCCGGGGCCGAAGCAGTGGAAGTAACGTTCTTGCCGGTGGTCAAGTTCTCAATCAGGGCAGTGCCCTCGCTGCTGGAGGTCGACTCGACCGAGACAACAATCACATCACCGATGCTGAACTCCATGTCAAGACCGACAGTGTCAGCAGGGTACCACTCCGACCAGCCGAGGAAGGTGGTTTCGCCGTTCTGGACGTAGATGTCGACACCGGCCTGCCAGATCTGGTTCTGGCCGGTGGCACCGTCAATGCCGACCCAGAAGGACACGGCCTGGTCATCCGAGGAGGAAGAAGCCGCGGTGGGGGTCACGCTGGGGAGGGTGAAGGTGGCGGCCACATAGGAGAAGGTAGCGCTGCCGCTGGTTTCCTGGACAGCACCGGCCCAGTTCTCGTTGACTTCGTAGTTGTCCGACGAGGTGGAGCTGCTCTTGTGGTTGGTGCTGACGGCGGAGGTCACGGCGGGAGCGACCTGGCTGGCGACGCTGGGTTGAGGGGTGAATTGCGCTTGTGGAGCGGCTTGGGTTTGGTAGCCGTTGTTGCTGGGCTGGATGCTTGGCTGGGGGGCAGCCTGGCCTTGACCTTGGCCTTGTCCAGGGGCATTGAAGCCCTGGTTGCCGGCGCCCGGGAAGTTTTGGTTGGACTCGAATTGGTGACGGACGTGACCGTGGGGACCGGCCAGGGCGGGAGCAGCCAGAAGGGCTGTCAGAGCCAGAGTAGAGGTGAACTTCATATTGATGGTGGGTGAGACAAAAGAAATGTATGTAAAAGAATGAACTGAGCACTGCTCGGGTGATAGTAAGACTAGCTATACAGATACCGGCTCTGGGCTGATATGACGGAAAGAGATGTAGGGAGATGCTGAGGATTTATAGTCAACTGCATCATGGTTGACTGTACTGTTGGGCCATCGATAGCTGTTAGTGGATCAAACTTGAAACGTGGTGCCGCGACTAGTGGAGTCACGGAGATTGACGTTTGTTATAGATGAGTATCAGTGTTTCAGGGTGGAGGTTGCAAGCGCATTCGGCAGTGATGTGCGAACGGGCCACTGCTAGCTTTGTAGGGCAATAGCTTAACAGATTAAAGCTCCAAGGGGTTCTTGGCTGTTGTTCAATCACCATTCGGTGGAGACATCTCGTCGGGGTAAATACCAGAAGAGGGTGAAATGTGAATCAGGGGTTACAATTTGGCTTTAGATTCTTCCATCTGCCCTATATAGCGGATAATCTATTCTGCATCAGGCCATGATCAGTACTCATGGGATTCAAAGTGGTTGGTCTGATTGCACGCAAGCAGGCAGATTAATCAGTAATTGCAGGCATCAGGGGCAATGGCTCAGCAGTCTAGATCTTCTTCTACTCCTGAATGTGCATAGATCACATGAATGGCAAGATCATTTGTTTGGGGTTTACCTCAATAGTGTTGACCAGGAATTAGCCAAGTTCCGAATGATCATATCGTCATGTAGCCTGTGTTTGAGGTTATTCTGATGCCTTCTAAGTGGACCCTCTGCGTGATTGGCTCCATCTAGTTCGGCATTTTTGAGTCCGTTTACATAAATCATGAGGATACTAGTGCTTGAAGGTAGCATGGTATTTCCAATATAGAATCACAGGTAGATTGGGCACACTGCTGAAGGGGATATCGATCTACTGTCTTGCAGGCACAGGCACCGTCAAGGCCTTGACCTGATGGAGATGGCCGTCTCAGAGTCGCCAAGCGAGGCCCAAACCCATAGTGAGGTATACCTGCTCGAAGAATCAAGCGATCGGCGCATAGAGATCTAATCTGCAAAGGTATTCTGTGATTAATCTGGGTGATTACTTATTTTCGTAGATCGAGTCGTTGACAGTCTCACTACAAGCAGCTTGAAGCTCCTCAATTAAGCATGTACCAACTGTTCTGGCATTCCTGGTAGGATCATGCTAACGTCACAGATGCCTATATTCCCATCATTGGCAGCAACGGCTTGTTTCGAAATGCCTGAGCTGTACGGATTATGACGGTTCGTGGCATCAGATACCACTTACACGAAGATCTGCCCACACATGACTGGTGTACTGACGAGAACATCTAAAGTACAACCAATCGGCATCAAGCTGTCGTACTGGCCAATTCCGCAGTCTCGAGGGACTTCCTGACTTCACTTCCGCAAAGTTCTTCGGGACTAGATCTTCACCTTGTTGATAGAATTTCCTGGAGCTCTACCACAGATGCAGTCTCCATGGTGGAACACATATGAGAGCTCGGTGTCTCACTCTGTCACCCCAATGGTTTGACGGCGCCATCCCATTTGAGTTTGACGATCGCTCCGTTATGGAGCAATCCGACTTGAAACTGATCGGAGACACATTCCTCCGGGTTCAGTCAATGGTCGTTAACGATATTAAGCAATAGCTTGGTAGTTGTAGAAGAGTTTTCAAAAGCCATACGTGGTAAAGCCGCGTGGTTGAACAAGAAGATGTAACTAGCCTAGAAGCTGTCTGGGGGAGTTGAAGAGTGAAAGTTAATGAAAGAAGCGCAACGCGTGATCAGGCTTCGATACCTTTCTGCCTGAGGAATTAAGTCACGTGTGGATTGGACCGATTGGGAAGCCCATCGCAGAGGATGAATGAACGACCCCATGATCATCTTTCCCTTTACTTATTCATCAGGTCCACATCTCGCCATTCTGACAGCCTATAGATTGTCACATCATACAAAAGTATTGGCTGTATTCATGACTCGCCGTGGGTGAATCTTGATTTAAGCCTGCGGGGCAATCAACCGGCGACCCGTAGCGACGATCGCTCTACGGCAACCATCGAGCCATATCCCTTCTTGTGAGTATCATAACACGCTGTTATGTCTAACAACTTATGCTGACGAGATAATTCAGTCTGTGGTGCAGCGTATTCTACCTAAATAATGGATTCGAAAGCTACTCTGGGCAGCATCCAGAAAGCCGTCTGGGCCGGAAAGCTACCCTTACAAATCACCTTGGCTCCATCAGAGAGCCGTACATTTGACCAAACAGATCCATACCTAGTACGTCCTCTTTTAGTACCTGATGAACTCGGAGCTAACTCGTTCAGATCTCCTGCCCCCGCGTATCATACCTACCATCTCTTCTCCCAAGGCTGAGAGCTTTCTTCGCCCCCACCCTCATTGATCCCGGCTCCCGCCCGCATGAAGGCTGGTTCTCCTTCGAGGGCGTTCCGTTGAAATGGCACTACCCAGTTGGCCTCCTTTATGACCTTTATGCTGGAGCTGATCCTGCCTCTAAAGGAGGTGCTGACACTGACTTGGCATCCACATCTGATGAAGACCCGTTACCATGGCGTCTAGTCGTGCATTTTAGCGACTGGCCAGATGAAGAACTTGTCCGACTTGATGCGGATGGGATAGTCATGCACGATGCCTTCATCAATAGTGTCAAAGAAGCAGATTTTCTGAGGAATGGTACCGCTAAAGGAATCATGACTCTTTCCAGGGAGGATTCGGCGGGGCTCTGGGAGTCAGTCAGAGATGGTACGTAATTCCAGTTATCGCTTACATGACTTGACAGCAAGATTAAGTGCTAAATATGCAATCAGTGGACCTGCCCAACTTCCAGCGAATATCCAACATTCTCCTACCACCACAGTCCCAACCGTTCCGCAACATACCTGTCCGGTTCTTTCTCCCCCTCCCCCCAGACTCAGACTCGCCCTCTCTCAAAGTAGTCCAGTCTCCTATTCCACCAACAATCCAACCAATCTCCGGACCCAGCGCCAGTGTCATGGCGAGCCAATCCATTCTAACTACATCCAGAGGGCCTCAACCACAGACCATAGGGTCAGCACTGCACTCGCTTCTACCGCATCTTTTTCCAAGTCGAAGGACACCTGTCCTGGCAAAACCAGTACTGCATGGTGCCGCGGTGCCAATGGGGGCCCCGTTAGACGAAGTGGTGAGGTGCTCAGGGTATGGCGACGGGTGGCTTTACATCGTGATCAGAATGATGGGGTGATATATAATCATCTCATTGGCAAAGAGTGATTCAGCATGAATGGCCTGGCATTGATGTTACTAGATGGCGTTGATATCATCTGATATTACCAGTCCTTTATTATATTAGTATAATTGCACATCGTACCTTATGTTTCTCCTTTTTATACACCAAGGTAAATGGTAGATTTTAGTTGCGATGATCACACTAACCAAGAAGGCATTTGTACACGTTCGTCTTATCTTCTGCAATGAATGACAAGTTGGTGGTTGTTGATGATAGATAAGTAGGTATAAAATTCTCGCTAGGCAATGGCATGACTCTAACAGCACTTATCAGAATTGACAGAGGATTAGTGTTAGTATTTCATGTGAGGTGTCTCTAAGCATGAGGAAGTGAGCTCACTCCTACGTCCATTGCTAACCCGGCACAGTACTGGGAGAAGATTATCAGTGATGTACACAGAAAGTGTCCACCATTCACATCACTATCGAGCCATGACTATCCAAGTCCTAGTCACCTCAAAACTCCACAACAACTAGCATAACGATAAGTAATAGGAAGAGGAACAGTGCCAAGTATAGAAACACATACTCCATGCAGCACAACCGCGCCTACACGGAAATAGTATCAAAGAAAGAAGAACTTACTAAAAGTGTCTATCAAACTAAGATCTTAATTTAGAATTATGTGAAACTCAAGGGACTATCTAGATGCAAGATGGAGATCGAAGACCCCAGGATAGGTAAGTGTAAAGCATGCAACGGCTGTATGGAAAGGCGTAATGAGTGTAAAGTAAGACCCGTACGGTCAGTAACATACCAGTATGGTACAGAAATACAGATCGTCAGGGTAGAAGATCGATATCTAGATCCTGAAATAGACATAGCAAGCAGGGGGGGTGTCGCAAGCGCAAGAGGTATGACTGGATGGAAGGCAGAAAGTGGAGGTATGAATTGCTTCATCCAGTTCTATTATTATCGTGGCGCAGGAAGGGAAGTGGGAAACGAGATTAGAAACTTGGGGTGGTAGGAGGGTAGCGTGCAGTTGGTGGTGATGGTGATTTGCATCAATGGGAAATGCAGGTAGGGGCTTAGGGTAAAACGCAAGCGCGGTTCGGATAGGACAAAGTTGTTGATGATTGGGTGAGAAGTAAGGTAGTGGATGAGATTAATTGTGATGCTGGGTGGGAAGAGGGGAATGATGGTGGTAGAATGAGAAAAGTTAGTATGTTGGCTTCATGCTAGTGCTTTGGATGGTCCAATAAGGGAAGGGAGAAGATAGGCTCTAATGCTCGAGGTTAAAGATTTCATATGTGACTGACTAGTAGCTAGAGAATCGTAGGATAAGAATAGTAAATCATTTCTGATTTCTGTGGTTTAACTGGTCAATGGAAATTTGATGGGGGGTTGCTGTGGAATGTTAGTGCTGCCCCTCAAACAAGCGGGAAGGTTCAGAGCGCAACGCCCGCCCACTCAGCAGACTTTATGATCCTTGTCCGATTTTCACCGCAGCCTAACGACGTGAACGCTAAGTATTTTGGAAGGATTTACAGCCCGAATTTGGTCAAAGTAGATGCGAAATAGCTATCTTCTATCACATTGCTCCCAGTCACCCAATTCATGTTCTGTCAGTTTCTCCTTTGGTATGTTTGTAGTTGAAGAGTATCTCAACCCATCTATCTACAAATCTAACAGCACCGGGCATAAATATGGCATAACCAACGACTGCAGGAAAGCTCGAGTAGAGGTGAAGTTGAG